CGGGAGACTGCCATGGAAGGAGCTGTTTGAGCCCAGCATAAAGCTGGCATGGGAGGGATTTCCGATTGGCAGGGCCCTGGCCGAAACGATCAAAGACAATGAGAACATGATTCTGAATAATGCTACATGGTGGTAAGAATATATTATCTGTAAACAAGAAAAAGAATAGTCAGAAAAGGTATGCCCACAAGGCTAATGCTCTGACACTATTATAATACTACAGGTGTGTATATGCCAATTGCATCTGAATTGTCACTTCTGATCTGCTTTCTTGTCTTGCAGTGAAGTGTTTTGCAACTCAAACAACACCATCTTGAAGGAAAATGACATTATAAGATTTCCGCAACTTGCTGTCACCTATAGGAGGATAGCCGAGAAAGGACCAGATGTCTTTTACGATGGGTCACTGACTCAGAATATAGTGGATGATATCAATGCTGCAGGTTATTTCATGCTTTGACGGGCTTCTGACCTAATATTATTAAATCAAGTCTGACTCGATCTTTGTTTCTGATAAAACAGGAGGGAATATAACATTTGAAGACCTAAAGAATTATCAGCCTGTATTGAATGAGTGTGCATTAAACTTCACTGTGGGGAAATACATATTTCATGCTCCTGATGCTCCATTCGGTGGACCTGTGCTCGCTCTGATTCTCAACATACTCAAAGGTGTGTGTGACGCAAATGCGTTTTACCCAGGAGGATCATAATATAGTCTGGAAAGCAACAATTGTAACTGATCAAAAGAAATATACAGTGTGCATCTTTAACCCATTCAAGTTTAAGAGTTATCCTCTCATGCATGAAATCTCTTTGGATCTTGTAAAATGTTCTAAGGTTCAGTTCAAATAATAACATTTTATTTCAGGTTACAACCTCTCAAGCAGCAATGTTTCTACAGCAGAGAATAAGCTTTTGACATATCATCATATAATAGAGGCTTTCCGTGCTGCTTATGAGTGCTGCTTATTTTGCTTTAAAAGTCAAAAGTCAAATATCAATTGGCATTCACCTTGCTCAGTATGTGTTTCACTAATATATTTGTTGTGATATGAAATGCATGTGTTTGTTAAATTGTTTAAAAATGTTGCTTATATTTTTCTTCCTCATTTCAGGTGATCCTGAACTACATGTTCTTTGACTATGATGTTCAGAAAGCTGTTACAGAACCCAGAGCTCACAATCAGTTTAATCCCAATAAGACGCTTGTGGAAGACGGCTTTGATGAGGTAGGATTCTTGAGGTAGTTCAATATAAGACATTTAAATAACCAGATTCACAAAGTCAGCAAAGTAATAATTATTGTAATGTTGTGTTTGTGAATGCAGAATGTATCTGATGGCTTGAAGCTGAAGAATCACATCATAAGCAAGACATCTTCAATAGGAAAAGTCCAGGCGGTCGTACGAGAGACGGACACAATCTGTGCTGCATCTGACCCGAGGAAAGGAGGCTATCCTGACGGATACTGAGCACTGCTGCTGTGTTCATGCTGCACTGTTGAATCCATCATAATAAAGCTGCTGTCCAATGACAGCTCTATTGTTTTTGATGGGAGGTGCATTAGTTCTGAGGTGCTAATGAAATAGACATTGAAGCTATTCATAAACAACATATTATTTCAGTGAAACAGTAAAATGTGATTTTAAGTAGCTTGAATTGAATTGAGTTCAGAATTGATCTTTTCTTTTTGTTGATCATCACCATTGTTGAGATTCATATGCTGATTGTTGATGTCTGTGGGTCTGTGGTGAGTTAGACTTTTGATGTGCATGATGTGTTTAAACTGATTGCTGCAGCATCAAAGTTGTGGTAATGAAACATTTAAGTGCATTAATGTAATAACACACTTTTGATGAGGGATTAAACACTGGATGTGATCAGTGAATCAGGACACCTCCCTGATAGTAAGCAACCATTGAATAAATGTTAAAACTAGTTGATTAGTCAATGTTATTTGCACTGAATCAACATTACTTTTGAAAAAGTGTTGAAATTTCAACAAATCACCATTATTGTGATCAGTGTTTGCTTTAGTTGGGCTCTTGACTCTTTGTACTTTAATGTTGGGTTTTTCATTGTCTGTTGTAACAATATGCTAAAATACATTTGTTGTGGCAATGAAAACTAGTGCCATTGGGATCAGGTGATGGTGACTATTTAAATAGTTGTTCACAAGCAGGGCTGTCCTTTGGGTGGTCGCACAGGGCCCCGCGCTTTGAGGGCACAAGTGTGTTGTGTTTTTTATGTGTGAATAATG